AAAAAAAAAAAAAGACACAAAGAGAGACTGATTCTAAAATAAAGGATAAATAGGGAACGCTTGGCATAAATCAAAATATTGTTTCAAATTTCATGTTATTTTAAGCACCAGGGATTCAGACAATGAGATAAAGAAACTCCAGGTCATAGATAAAACTTTTTCATATGATTCTTGGAACATATGTTCTTGCAATTCCCATGCCTTGACTTCAGTAATAGATAGAAATAGGAAAGGAGTGAATATTCATTTATATATACCAAACTGGAAAAATCCTTTTCTGTCTTTATCACATATATTTCCCATATAATAGCATGATTAAATGTATAAGTGCCAAGGCATTTAAGTATATTTCCAACATGTATTGCAGACAAAACCCTAATTTTCTCAAATATAAATGGATCTCAAGATTGAAAACACAATCCACATGGTGCCTGGGTAGCTCAGCTGGTTAAATATTCGACTCTTGATTTCCACTCAGGTCATGATCTCAGGGTTTTAGAATCCAGTCCCATGCTAGGTACTGTGCTGGGGATGGAGCTTGTTCAAGATTCTTTCTCTCCCTCTTCCTCTGTACCTTCCCCTGCTTTTGTGTTCTCTCTCTCTCTAAATAAACCAAGAAAATTAAAAAAGAAACAGTTAAAATGAAAATGTGCAAAATAACTGACCTCAAAGGAATTCTTCTTATTAAAAATAATGTGAAAAGATTATCAGTTTCTTTCATAGAAAAACATATTCCACTCAATTTCAATTATTTATCTTTTCACCTAGATTAACAAAATGACAGTTTTGATAAATGTCTCTTAACAAACAGTTCTGAAAATGATGTTGGACACAATTGATTCCACACATTCTTGGGAGGAGTTTAAGGGGATACAATCTCTCTGGGGTTAATTTTTAGCATTGATGATATTTCAATGTCACATAGACACAGGTCTGGTGTATGTATTTGCTACAAATAATCTCACTCATAGGCAGGAAGATCATCACATCCATGTTGATCAAAGGCAAGAAACAAGTTCAATGCCCACCAGAAGGAAGCTAAATGATTCAGGGATTGTATTTATGCAAACATCAAACAAAAGGAAGTTGATATATATACAATGGATTCTAAAATATGTTGTAAAGTGGCAGAGTTCAGGACTGTCTGTTGAAGATGGTAATATTTTCATTGACAGCAGAATAATATCACACACACACACACACACACACACAGACTTATATCAGTTAATTGTATTTATGAGAGTATTAAGATAGTATATTTTTGGCCTCAGGATGGGGAAACTCTATTCTTGGAATCAAAGTTAGGAGGATGACTTACCTTTTAAAATATTCCCATTAGTAGTTGAAAATCTGTCATAGTGATGCTGCAACAAAATAAAGCTTTTTAAATACCTTCTCTTAGTAGATGGTTTATTACTGCCTTTGGCATATTACTGGTACATAACAACTGTATTCTTTTTTTTTTTTTATAAAGATTTTATTTATTTTTCAGAGAGAGAGAGGGAGAGAGAGCGAGCACAGGCAGACAGAATGGCAGGCAGAGGGAGAGGGAGAAGAAGTCTCCCCGCTGAGCAAGGAGCCCGATGTGAGACTCGATCCTAGGACTCTGGGATCATGACCTGAGCCAAAGGCAGCTGCTTAACCAACTGAGCCACCCAGGAGTCCCAACAACTGTATTCTGACACAGGCTGCAGAAACAACAAGATTTCTAGGGCTAGAGCAGGATTTAAATATCTGTGTAAGAGGGTGAGTCACTGTAGAGACAGTTCTGGACTCAAGGGTCTTTACCACATCATGCCTCAGCTGCACTACTCCCACCATACTGCCATTCACTACAGGTTCCCATATACTCTTATGAGTTTGCTGAATATGCTTTTTGTCCAGCTCTTCAGCAAACAGGAGTGAAAACTTGTCTGAAGTTTCTAACAATCAATTATTATAAAGAGATGTCTGTCTATCCATTCATGCATACCTCTACTTATCAATTTACTATCTACCTTTCTATGTATCATCTATCAACCTATTGTGTATGAACTATCTATCATCTGTCTATCTATCTATCATCTATCATCCATCATCTATTATCTATCATCTGTCTTACAAAGATACAGACTGAAAGATTTGGATTGTTCAAATAAGAATACTTTTCAATGGCATACATTCTAAAGAAGCAACATAAGAAAGGCAATATTTATTTGTTCACTGCTGAATTCAAGCATCTAGAAAAATGTACATATTCAATAATAAGTATTCACAAAGTAAATGAAAGAATTAAAAGAATTTCCTCTTGATACAATCCAATAGTGTTCAGTCCTCCGATACTCTGTTACCACTGAAAAGGGAAGCCTACTACATCCCAAGTAAAATCATCATCTCCATGGAGCATCCTGGAACACTGGACTAGATACAATTTTTATTTACATCTCTCTCCACCAGGAGCTACTGAGTATTACTTTTATTCTGTCTTCTCAGTTTAGATTGTCAAGCACTTGTAGAAAATTCCCTAAACTTTCTATCCTTCCACAAATGCCTTTTATGTGTTAGGGTGCACATTTGGCATAGATCAGATAAATTTTCTCAGAGTATGACATACAACTAAGTTAATCCCCAACACAAACTCACCAGTTTCGGTAAGAGTTTATGCAAAGGGTAGGATGTTCAGTCATTCTCTCTTCTTCTCAATGTAATTTGGCCACTCTTTACTCCAATGAGAATAAAAAATATCCTTTTAAAATTCTGTCCGATCTCTCTTGATGTTACTGAGGCTCAGGTTCTCACCTGCATGCCAGAAGACAAAGTTGGTCCAGGATTCTTCTCACACTTTCTGATATCCACTCTCACTTGTAATTTTGACAGGGAAATATTTTTCTTTTGCCTTTCCTACAGCAGTATTTAAACATGAATGATGCAAAATATAGGAGTCTGGGGAAGGTCATTCCCTAAAGTGTTCCTTCCCTTTTAATTAAGACGCATGAACTAGATTTGATTAAGAACTTGATCTTCACTATGTATTAATGGATTTTGGGGAAAAGCTGATCTCTTCTTGCAATTAAATTATGTGGGCCATAAATGATGGGTTTTGACTAGAATTCTAAAAAAAAAAGCAGTGATTATCTAGTGATCTAGTGCCAGGACTTGATTCTTGATACCTTTATCCAAAAAAAATTAATTAGGATTTCTTAAACAAAAGGCTGATTCTAGGTCTCAGGTAGGAAATGTATGAGATGAACTGGCAAGAAAGTGGTAATACACACAGACAGGTAACTGATACTGTGATAAGAATATGCCAAAGGGACACAAAAGCCACTAGAAAGAGCCTACAATTCCTTTACAGAGGAGAAATGTACAGAGGAGAAATGTGGCAAACATTACTTCATCCAGGTGATCAAGGTTAACCTCAAGAATGATGAGTCACAATGAAAGTGTGTACCCACTGGCATGATGTGATGCAAATGGCACTTTGCCTCTGTGTCTCTTCTCCCAATAACCCATAACTCCACTCCGATCTTCAATAAAATATCAAACAAACCCCAAATAAAGATTTATATATAAAATGTCTGACTAGTTCTCCTCAAAACTTTCAAGTTTATCAAAAACAAGGAAAGTTGAGCAGAATTATTGTGATGGGCACTGAGTAAGCTCTAGAATTCACACAAGAGAAAATAATAAAATCTTGTATATTCAACATAACTGAAATAAATCAATAAAAGGATATTCAGAGAAACTGTCAGTGTCTGGAGGTTCCAAAAAAGACATGAAGATACACAGTTTATTTCATTCAATATATCATCAGAGTATATCTGTGTCAAGCATGGGTCAGAAATTCTTTCCTTTTCCATGCTGAATAATATACCATTGTATGCATT